CTCCAGCCTCCGTCTTGTGCAGTCACACAGTTTCTGAGGACGACCTGCTCTCGGCAGATTTACGGATGTGCCATTTATTGTTTCATGTATTTTACATCTTAGACTTTTTAAAGCTGACATTACTTTGCAGAAATCTGTTTTCACTTTGAATTATTTTGATCGTGATTCAATCTTGCAAAAAGCAGTAAAAGAGGAAAACTTCCAAAAGGAGGGACTACTTTCTACTGGCACTGTGTTAACTATAAGAGTGTGAGAGTTTTATCTTATCAGCAATTAGCTGCAGGTTATAATGGCATGGACAGTTCACCGTCTATGTGCAAATATTACAGTGACTCAGGCTTCAGATATGTTGTCAGTAGTTTCCTTAGAAGTGCTGATGTACTGAACGGCAGTTTCTCTAGAAATCTGTGTTATTCTCTCGATAGTATTCTGTCATAGCTCAACAACAGAAATAGTACCAGCTACATCCCATAACTGTAATTAATGAGTATTTCTGTTTTAGTGTTGCTGGTTTTTGAAGACAGCAGCCCCAGTAACCAGCACATAATCAGCTGCTGCTGCTGCTGTAAATCAAACACTAATTACAAGCAGACTGAGAGCAGAACTGAGTGAACATGCTGCAGGAATTCCCTTCACTTTCAACTATAGAAATCTGGTCCTCATTGGCTGATACCTGCTTTTTCTCCCCCTTTGCTAAGACTTCTGTGCTCACTGTAGATGTGTGGGTGAATGCACTTGTTTGTTCCCGTGCTCCACAGCGTGCACTCATACGTGCACCAGTATGGCACACATTCCTACGTATGAAGCTCAGTGCAGGCGTGTGCGTGCAGCAGGGCTAGCTGTAGTGGTTCCTATCACTTCACACCAGCTGTCAGGTTTGTCACACACAAGGCTGCAGCCTGTAGGTGACCCGGCACACATGTTCACCTCACGTCTACCCAGGCCACGGTGAACACGCTGGAAAGCCAACAACAAGCTGCCTCACTCAACCTGGAGAACGTACAGCTGCACTAGAGCTGGTTTTAATCGTCCTTGCAGTCCAAACAGGAAAATCCTTGATGGTTTACTTTACTTGGTCAAATGAAGTTAAGGCCCAAGTTCTTCTCATCATACACGATATGGAAGAGCTGCCATTCACCAGGGAAAGCTCGCTGAAGCCAGGAATGATTCATTCCTGTTCAGCATGCTCGCTAAGTCATGCAGATTAGAAGAAATCTCAACGATGGTTCAGCAGAAGGTGTGTGTGAGGCTGTGACGTCTGCTGAAAGAAGCTTTTTGATCTGATAAAACTGAAACTGAGCTTTTGAGCGACCAGACTAGATGCTATTTTTGGTGGCCATCAAACACTGTACCTGATCACAAACACACCACCTCCACCGTGGAGCGTGGTGGTGGCAGCATCATGGCCGCCCAGCCTGTCTGTACATTCACACAGTTACTGTATGAAGTCAGTCATGTGACCGTAGAATCAGTTCTCATTGGTGCTGATCATCTGCTCTTTTGTTATTATTATTTTTTAAATCATTCTTTTTTTTTTTAAGTTATGTTTTTGGCCTTTGTGCCGTTATTGATCGTGCAGTGAGAGAGAGACAGGAAAGTGAATGGGGGAGGACGTGTGGGACAGAGCCATGAGCGGGATTCGAACTCATGACCTCCACATGGGGACTGGAGCCCTGCACCTGGGACGCCAGCTCAACCAGGTGAGCTGTAGCGGCACCCCGATAATCTGCTCTTTTATTAAAGGTTTGTTGCTAAATTCTCATTTGTTCAGAGTTCCAGCTAGACTGCTGCTGGTGGTGATGCAACGTGTGGAGCTCTCAGGTCCTGTCAGGTTCAGGTTCAGGGTTTCAGTCTGAACAGGCTCCTTGGTCCACCTGGACTGTAACATAGGGCACTGGTCGTTCTTAAGGGGAAGCCTTAGTCGTATCCCCAGGAGGAGGTTCAGTCTGAAGGACCTGGAGGTTTCCATGGTGTGGAACGCTGTATGATGAGGATTAAACCTACACCCTGTTGACAACGAGCCAATAGGAAGAGAGGAGTGAGCTGCCTGCACATTGTAATGATTTTAATCTGCTGACAACCCAGCGGTGTGTTTGTTCGGTTGGTTAGAACGTTCATGTAACGTTTCCATGACAGTCACAACAGTAAAACCACGAGAAGGTCCTGGCATTCATGTGGATGGTATTCTGAAATGCAAACACTCTTTAAGGTCAGCTCAAGGAACACAACCAAGAGCCTTGGCCTCCACATCCATAGATCCAGTGTGAAACAGCCTGATTCATGGAGGCCCCTCCTGGCGGCCCACAGGACCCAGAAGATCCACTGCCAGCACCTCAGTGCCAGACAGCCAAGGCATGAAGCAGAACTACACACCACGAGGCAGCAGCTGGTTTTAACGATGTGGCCGATCGGTGTGGATGTAAACATCATCCCAGGTTTGCTTTCACACGACTTTTCCTGTTTCGCTGCAGTAACCTGAGAAGGACGCTATCGCCACCATTTATTTCCTCATCATCTGTTATTTTCAGCCTCATTCCACAAACGTATTCCTCCATCACAGTCTCAGCACACACACACACACACACACACACACAC